GGAGCTGGAGTCTGTCAGCAGTAGGAATCTGTGGAGAAACCGGACCAAACAGTGATGAACCTTAGGTTGTAAATCAGCCACAGCTGTGCACTGGTGTTTCCTGTGAAAAACTGAGATGCACTTTCACCATGTATTCAGTTACAGCACTCAGTTATAATATTAGGAAGACTGTTGAATCTGAGTTTGAGTGAAAGTGATAACTTAGGAAGAAACACCAGAATCTGAGCTGAGGATAACACATCTTTTCATTTCACAAATGATGATTAAATTTGATGAATATTGTAGATTTCCACATTAGTTTAGAGCATTTGACCACTGTAGTTCCTATTAGTACTTATGTTAACAAATTTGTCAATGGAACAGCGAATCAGAACAAAACGATAGTCGTGTAGTCTCTTGTTGGATAAAATCATGGTTAGATCATGTTTTTCTAGACCGACACTGATTCCTGGTTCTCCCTAAAGTCTGAGATGTTGATTTAAAGAAACGAAAAAAGTTGTTTCAGCTCCTTTTTGATTTGCAGTAGTAGTTTTAAATCCAGCTCTCTGCCTCTCTGGGTACTCCAGGTTTCTCCCACAGTCCAAAAACATGACGTTAAATTAAAGGGTGTCTCTAAATTACCCTTAGGTGTGAGTGTGTGCATGGTTGTTTGTCCTGTGACTCTCTGTGTGGCCTGTGATGAACTGGTGACCTGTTCAGGGTGGACCACTCCAGCCCCATGCGACTACACACCCACCAGCGGGTCTAGACCATGGATGCTTCAATTCATAACTTGCCAGTTATTATTCTACCGATTGGTTCACCTTCAGTTTTTGACTCACTCACACTCTCAAAACTTCCCCAGTTTCTCTCTCGGTCACATTAGGATGTTTTCGTTTCCTGTACGTTCAGGCTTTCATTTGTTCCCCACTGTTCTTTGCTTCCTTTCTTCCAGTTCTTACTTACTGGACTTCTAAGCCTTGAGGCTGCATGAATGCAATCAGTAATCGGGGCAGGATTACATCAATCTTTTGAGCCAGTTATCCTCAGGCCAGAGAACTCTAAAATGTACAATTATTCCATTTTTTTTTTCCCAAATCCCCAAATGGACAATTGATGCCTTGTGAACAGTGCCTGACAGAGCATTTTCTCTCTCTTATCACAAACAAACTGCTTTGCCTCGGGTCTTGGGTCATGTTCTTTTATGTGAACAAACACATGAATTGAAACAAAACACTCTAGTGTCTGTGCCTTGCTTGTTTCTTTGCCATCGGTTGTTTTAAAGACATGCCTTTCCTCTTCATCGAGCCAAGGGAGGGAGCCTGCCGTTGATGCTCCACTCCTTGATGGATGGACGAAGGGAGGGATTAGGGAGGAGACGAGATGACCAGGAGGAGGAGGGGGAGAGATGAGATTTTAAGGGTTTTCCTCCTTCACAGACACACTTGGAAAAAAAACAAAGTTTGTCCTCATTTAGCTTCTGGCAGGCTATGTGTCCTCTCCCGTCTGCAGTAATGAAGAGATTAGAGTGGCAGAGTGACTGAAGAACCGCAGGACTGACCTGACTAAGAGAAACTGGTGACTAAGTTCCATCCTGAGGTTTTTTTTTTTTTTTTTATAATTATTTTGGCCTCAAGTTGTTGTTCTGGAACCTTGAAGAGCTGTGGGGAAGAAGAAAAGCAGACGCCAGCGTTTTCTGGTACGATCATCAAGATTGAGACACAAATGTGTAGGTGTTCAGTGCGTCATCTTAACTTCTGCGTGAGAGTTTTTTTTAGTTTTTTTTTTTATGCCAAAACTTGAACAGGATGAGCGTGTGCATGCATGAGTTGTCACATCTTCTTTAGAAAACTTGTGAAAGCAGGAAACCTCAGCTTAACGTACAGTAGCTGCAGATTGATTATTGTGCATGTTTTAAAGGATGTGATGCATAACCTGCTAACCACCAACGCAGGGAAGGAGAATAGAGAGCAAACATATCCAGAGCGGCTGATCATCAGTAGCTTTGCAACAATGAAGGGTTGCAAGTTGCAGAACGATTGCAAACTCTGTGATATGTGGAGCTGAGTTTTAAAAAACGTACTTATGTTGGATGTGTCTGGATTGTGCTTTATAAGCTGTTATAAACAATCTAACCTATTTCCTCTTGCAATAAACCGTCGGAGGAAGTGAGTAAATGCCAGTTTTGCTACCTTTTTTTTTTTTTTTTTTACAACGGCATGTTTTTCTGGTCTTCAGGTTAATAACGAAAGCCGCTCTGGCCTATTTAAAGCCTCCTCTGGGCGATAATGGGATGTGTGTGATTAGTTAGTGCGTCACTGGGTGTGTTCTTGCACTAGATCATATCTAAACTGATGTCAGACATTTGTGGGGGGTTTTTTTTGGGTTGGGGGGTTGATTCAACACATCCATGGCTTATGGTTATAAAAAAAGGTTTCTAAAACTAATGCTGTACATTTGTGACGTGTTGATCTGATTTGCATAAATCAGAAACAGTTGATCACCACAGATTTCGGAGTAAAAATGTAAGAAAGTAACTATTCATGGTTCCCACATTAAATTTATTTCACTACTGATTAATATACAGCTCAGTGTAGGTGTGGGTTTCATCCAGCCAAAGATCTGTTTGTAAATATAAGTATGATGGAGTAACCTGAAGTATTTTGAAGTAGATAAGTGCAAGTTCTTGGAAGCAAGTGAAATGTGTAATCTTACTGCTATCAGTTTTTATGTAAACAACTGGGAGGAGCTGGTTAGAATCTCTAACAGCTCAAATGAACTCCGACCCCAAACCCCAGAGGAGTAGAAAAGGAGGTGGATTAGCAGTGCTTTCCAAAAGCTGATGGTGTCATCCAGGACTTCCTGCTGTGGAATATCATCTGTGCTGCAGATATTAAGCTGTTAGAATGTCAGTCAGAGGCTCCTTCAGATTCGATGCAAGACTGACTGCTACTGGAAATCGGTCAAGCCGACAGCACCACAATTCACATTGACATTTGAATAACATGAGTCACTAAAACATTTAATTTCCCTTTTGGATACATAAAGTATTTTTGAATTGAATGTTACAAGATTTTGAACGCAGAAGTATTGATGGCTATACTTTACTAGTTGTATTATTGGACTACTTGTATCTGTAGGTTTTAATTAATGTACAAATATTTGGACGAATATCCCCATTTTGACTGTAGCAGCCATGCCACTTTTTTCTGAAAGATTTAAAGACTGCCAAGTCAGAACAAGGAGTTTTTAAGCGTTTTAGTCTCCTGTGTTTGACCAAGAAAATTTACTGATAATTTATGTAGTCCATGTGAAATGGAGCTGATGTACTAAGTGACCCTGTTTCATGCATTAGTGGTGATAAAGCCTGTTCTCACGGTGTGCCCTGCTTCTGCAGAGTAACGTTGTCATGTAAGCAGGGAGAACTGAACAATGTGAACTGATTGAAATCTCTCAGCAGGATTCCTCTAATGAGGCTGATTTGTCCTCCGACTGGTTGCTACTCCACTTTAATTGCTCGTTCTCTGCTTTTATTTTCTTGGCTTACATACCTTTTTTTAAAAAAAAAAAAAAAGATAAACCTTATGAAATAATAAATTAACTACTGCTCACTGTGTCTGGGAATAAAAAAAAAATGTGAATGTACCGCTATAACCACAATCTTACTTTCCCACCTGTTGCCGGCCTTCTTCCTCTTCCTTTTCTTCTTACGTAAATTTTCTTGAGAATAACCACCAGACTGGCTCCGCCAGATCAGTGTTGGTCTATTTATCACGGCTCTGCAGATGTTTTGTGTGTCTGCGGTACATGAACTTCTGTTCTGTCGGAGCCCACACTCGGTCCTGTACTTTTAGGGGTGTTTTCCCAGCAGGGAGGAAGCCAACACCGCCACTGAGAGCTTGTAATTGTAAAGTATGATATGAAATTCGCTTCCCGTCCTTACTTTGCTTATATTCCTTTTGTTGGAGCTTTTTGGTTTTGGTATTTTACTCTGCTGAAAGTATAAATCTCTCCAGTTAATAGTTAACTGGTGCCAAACTAATAAATTTTTGGTAAATGTTCAACATTTTTTAATCCCCTATGCTAATCAGAGTAACTTAGGAATTAATATTTATTTGCCAAATATTGTTTTATATTAAATATTGCTAGGCTAACATAATGTTCGCGCTTTTGTTTTGATATGACTCAGTTCATATTTCACCGTAGAGCATGTTAGTACTTCTACAATTCATTGTATGTGGGCAAAACTTGTAATAAAATTCTAATAAGAGTATTTCACGTTATAAAACAATTTCTAGTAGAAAATAAGAAGTACACACATCTCATTTATTTCCATTGTTTTAGCTTTTAGGATTCTTTAATCACATAAATAACTACTTAGAAGTCTAACACTCTGTTTTGTTTATTATTTTAATTAACAATTACTTCAATCTGTAATCATAAGATTGAAAAAACTTTAGAATAATTGTTTAAGTTTTATATTTATTAAATCTTATAGTTGTGTGAATTTAGTCTACTATGATCTGGCTTCAACACTGAGTTGTGTGTGGGGGAAAAAAGAGCAAGTCTGGTGGCTCCCCGAGCGCTGATAAAAACCATTTAACCACTTTTATTCTTCTAAACTAATATTTGTTTTCTATCGGATTAGTGCACTTAGTCTTTCTATAAGTGCTTTTATAATCTCATTTTGTTCTTAATATTCATTTTTTTCCCCCCTCCTTTCATTACAGCATCGTTATTGTAGTCAAACGATATAACTTCAGCTTTATGTCTGAGATCCTGTTTGTTTTGGGCAATGAGCTTGAGTCCATATTCCTGTTGGTGTCTGTGGTAACGGGTGGTGTAATCTGATGGAGCCCAGATTGTGTTGCCATAGTGAGCCAGAGCGGTGGGACTCTTGGATCTCCATTCTGCTGTTGTTTCAAAGTGTGTGTGTGTGTGTGTATGCTGTAATTGCATTGTGTGTAGGATGAGGGAATATTTGATCTCTGCCTGAGTGCTGCGTTCATTTCTGCCCTCAGTGCCTGATGACCTAAGTCCAGAGGAGCGACAGGAGCTGGAGAGCATCCGCCGCAGAAAACAGGAGCTGCTGCAGGACATACAAGTAAGTACGATTCTCACAGACGTGAGCCGTTCCTTTCGTTTTTATTTCTCATAATCATCTCTCAAACTGTAAACGGATTTCATCTAAAGCCTTTGTTAGTAATAGAATCACTTGTTTGTGTTTAGAGATTTGTGCCCACTCTTGTTGCATTTAAAAAATAATCTAGACTATGAGTGTATGAATAATAATGAAAGCAGTTTGGTCATATTTAAAATTGTTGTTTTTAACATAAACACACATTTAAACCTTCATCTTAAATATTTTGTTTGGGTGAATATTACACGATAGAGCAGGGATTGAATAAATATGAAACATAATGCCGTATTTGCTGAACCCCTTTTCCACTGATACTTCTAAATAAAATGCAGTTGCCTTCAGAAGGCACCTTATTGGTAAATCCAGTCCATCTGTCTGTAATTTAATCTCAACATAAATCCAGCTGTCCGATGACGCTGCAAAAACACAAAATCTTACCAAGTTTATGTGGTCTAGCTTCTACTGCAAATATCTTATTTCAAGTGTCCTAACTTAAAATTAACTTTTCAGCAAGATGTCAATGATTGCTTTATATTATTTAAAAAGTACTAGTTCCTCTGGTAGATTATTTCACTTTTAACATGGGAAAAATAACTGGTTACAAGAGAAATAATCTGCCAGATTAGGCTACAATTAAGGAATTATTTATTTAAAACAAGCTACTATAGATTGCTGAAAAGTTACTTGTAAATTAGGTTTGTCTTATTTCAAGCGTCCTAAGATATTTTCACAAGAAACTGGACCAAAAACATTTATAAACATTTGTGTTTTTGCAGTGTAACTCTGAAGAAGTGGCATAGATCTAAAATCCAGTTATGAATCTGTGGTGAGACCTGAAATTTGATGTTCCCAATTCTCTCCATTCACGTTTGATTTTGGAAAAAAATTAACAAAATAATGGGGGAATGAGATAAATTACATTAGACTGCTTCATACAAGTCAAAAACATCTTGATACTCACAGTTGCCAAAGAAAGAAGTGAGGAGACGAGTGAAAGTCAACAATGCAACAGAGAGTTGGAGAGTTAATTACCGAAAATGTGTAACATAGACAGTATTGGAGCTCACTGCTGCTTTGTAGGTCAAAAAGTAATCTGTGTAGCGAAACCAAGAGACAGTTTCATAATTAATAAAAAGCTCCATTTGCAAGGTTAAGTTCAAAGGTTAATATTAAAATTAGAGAGCCAGTCCGCCTTCAGAAAGCACTTGGTTTAAAATGAGAGGAGGCTGATAGCTCATCTGCCTATTATCTACTTTAAAAAGCCGATGCATTAGAAGAAAGTCAGGGTTTCCTCCAGTGTTTTATAAGCCTGGTGGGCCACCAGGCTTTACTTGTGCCCCCACTTAAGTAAATAAATACTTATTTACTTAAGTATTTTTAAAATGTTTGCATTTTTAACACTTTATAGTTGGTTTTCAGGTATTAATCTTCCAATCTTTCAATAGCACATAATTATTAAGTGATATTTTCAAATTTCCTGTCAGCTTTAAACTTTTTTAACTCAAACACGATGGATTGCTGGATGAATGACTAAACTACCACCCACCCACTGGATTTAGCAAGTTTTCTGGGAGAAACCTTGAAAGTACATTATTTACAAATATAATTTGATGGGGTTGTTCCACTCTGAACGTTCAAAGCCAGGTTATTTCAAGATGAGTTGTTTATAAAATAAGGGAGAAACCCGGATTATATTTCACATGTGAAACCTTGAGGTTGCAGCTGTTGTTTGCATTTTCTCCTCGTTTGAATACCAGTCTGTGTCCTTGAGTGAATTTAGACTTTCATGTCTGGACCAGCGAGTCTCGTTGGGCTGATGGGGGTCAAAGGATAGGATCACCAGAGCGACGCTGTACACAGACGAGACGGATGATCCTCTTTGTTTGGGGTTGGGGGGGCCCACATATAGACGACCTGCAGGAACAGATTCCCTCTTGCTTTTGCCCTCTTTACAGATAAATCAACAGATAATCTGTTTTTAAAGGGACAGGACAGCTATACTGTAAAAAACTAGATGACTTTTTTATATTTAATTTTATATCAAAGATTAAAAACTGTTTTCAAATGACATTATTCATTGAGAAGAGAAATAATGACTCCCTAAATTTAATAGTGAAACCGAGTATTTCTTTGCAGATTTGTTTGATTTTTTTTTTTGGGCACAATAATAAACGTCTCGCTAAAGGTCACACCCCCTATTGTGATCTTAGCCTAGGCTTTGACTAGGACAGTCATAATTATCATTCTGCTGATCTATGAAGACTGGGATTTGATGGTTTGTTTAGGAACTAATTGTACTAGAGCTCAATGTAGCTTCTAGCCGTCTATCTTTAATTATAAGAGCAAAAGGTCTTTTTTTTTTTTTTTTTTTCCCGAGAGAGCCATTTCTGTTAAACATGGGTTTCTTATTTTAAACAAAATTAATAAAGCACCAATCTTTTAAACTCTTTAGTCGGTTTGGCTAACTTTAAAACGTATATCTGGTAATAAAATTGGTTAAGTAATTACATGTTTGGGTCTATTTGAGGAGCAGTGACAAATTATTTCAAGTAAAGATACATATTTTACATATTTATTTAATAGAATTTCTGCATTTATTTATTTACCTAACATGCATTATACATTTATTTTACATTTTATTTTGTTAAAATAAGAACACATACAAAAATATTAGCTTTTTTATTTACTGCATTGTGAATCTGTAGCCTATGATGACACCAAATAATAATGAATCTGTTAATAAACTATTTTTTAATTAACTGCACAAACATGAGTTGGGTTATGAACCATTGCAGCAATACAGAGATGGTGCATTGTTTCTGTGTTTCTGGGAAACGGAATCAGAAATAAATGCAAAAAATAGTATTTATTGTAGTTTCCAGATTCCCTCAATGGGAGACGTTGAGTTTTCTGCTCACAGGATTCATTACACTGTCTGCAAAACAAATCAAATTTAGTTTAATGATATTTTCCAAAAACGATGTGAAAACCCCCCCAGAAGTATTGAAAACTGGTTTTCCAGACTTTAACACTATTATCCTTTCTCTCTTTCTCCTCAATCCTTTCTTTCTTTTCTTCCTCCCTCATGTCCTTTTCCAACTTTATTTATACCTCTTTCCTTTCTTTCTTTGTTCATTTCTTGGTCCATCCTCCTTTTCTCCCCTGTCCCATTTTTTTCCCCATTATTCTATCCTTGTTTTCTTGCCCCATTTTCCTCTCTGTTTGTCCTCCTTTCATTTTCTTTCCTTCATTCTCTTTTCCTTGTCCTTCTTTAGTTTCATCCTGTTTTTTTTGTTTGTTTTTGGTTTTCCCCATTCAATATTTTATTCCAGATTTGTTTTAAATCTCGTTAATCTTTTTAAAAATATATCTGCTTTAAAATTCCTGTTGAAATTTAGTATTTTATGTTTTAAAATGAACATGAAGGACTGGGAATTCTGGGAATTTGAGTCTTAAAAGTGCGTAGGAACCCTGTTGTTCTCCTTCCTCTCATAACTTCGGACTTGCCTGAGCAGCTCCACTAAGCCGGTCGGTCTTTGATCCATCATATTCCCGTATTCTCCCCGACACCCAGGCAGACCTGTGAGGGCGTCAGGGAGGGGCGGCCCGATGAATCTGGGTCAGCAAAGGGAAGAGGGGGCGAGCAGCGACTCCAGCACAGGTGCCGCAGCGGATCTTTGCAGAGCGAGGCCGTTTCACAAAACTCCTGCTGAGAGGAGGAATCACTCAGGACTGAATCATGGCGGCACTTTTTTAGGAGGCCTAGTGGGTTGTCACTAGAGTGGGAGGTGCTGGTCGTGATGAGCTGCTCAGTGGGGTTTTTTCTGAAAGAAAGAAAGAAACTATTCTAATAATGAAATTAAATCGTGACTATTTATGTTTTTGTTTTGTGGTTTGAAGCTGACCGAATTTCCCCTGTTCCTCTTCTCTGTCGTCTCTTAGAGGCTGAAGGATGAGATAGCAGATGTGACCAATGAGATTGAAAACCTGGGCCTGACTGAAGAGAGGTAAAGTGTCCCTCAAATACCATGTCTGTGCGTAGGCAGCGCCGCTCCGCTCAGCCTTTGTTTTACATTCACAGACACAAAAAACTTGTTTGCCTCATCCTTTTACACGACGTTCTGATTATGCATCGTCTCGCTTAAATCCAGTTCGTTGAATTACTAAAATGAGATTATATTTGTAGAACTAAACTGAACATTTATTGTTAAGTGCTGAGAGTATTTTTGTTTTATTTGATTGCAGGAAAAGCATGCAGAGGAACAAACAGATGGCCATTGGCCGGAAGAAGTTCAACATGGACCCCACAAAGGTGAACGCATCAGTCAATCTGCGTTTAACAGTGACAGACATTGACAATTAGCTTAGTAATTGATTAATCTTTAGCTGGAGTACACAGAGTAATTGCTGAAAGAACAACACACTCAGTGCAGAAGTTAAATTAATGCAACAACATTATTGCAGTTAAACAAATTCTCATATTCTGGACAGGAAGGATGATTCAAATAAAACTTTTTGAAAATATTTTCTGTCTGTTTTTTGAATAGAAAGCGAGAAATCAAATCTGAAAAATTGGAGATTTTATTTTAAAGCCATATCGCTGACCCCTACTTAGCTTATTGTTGAGCAGGTAAAAAAAATGACTCCATTTTTGGTGATTTTAGTTATTAAAAATCATATATTTTTGTGGCCCATGAGTGCTGAAACAGACTGATTTTGTTCTTATTCAGTTGATATTTTCGGATCCTCAGCCTGAGTTGCTCGTTTTCATGTCTCCTCCTCAGGGGATTCGCTTCCTGATCGACAGCTCCCTGCTGAAAAACACCAGCGAAGACATCGCTCAGTTCCTCTACAAAGGAGAGGGCCTCAACAAGACGGCCATCGGCGACTACCTGGGGGAGAGGTGTGCTTATTTAATCCACATTACTGGAATTATGATTCATGATGTTACACAAGCAGCTCCAGGCGAGCTTTAATCCCGCGTTGTTTCATTGTTTCTAACGTCTAACGTGGGCTTGTGGGTGTGTGTCTGTGTGGGATCCTGTGTGTCGTGCAGGGATGAATTTAACATCAAGGTTCTGCACGCCTTCCTGGAGCTGCACGAGTTCACGGACCTGAACCTGGTCCAGGCGCTGCGGCAGTTCCTGTGGAGCTTCAGGCTGCCGGGCGAGGCCCAGAAGATCGACCGCATGATGGAGGCGTTCGCCCAGAGATACTGCCACTGCAACCCAGGCGTGTTTCAGAGCACCGGTGTGTGACACCGATTCAAACGCACAACGGTTCTGATGTGCACACAGAAACTTTAAGGGCTCAGAGTGGAGACAGTCTGCAGAAGAACAGGATTTTATTTTATGTTTTACAGGATAAGAGTTTTAAAAAGAAAATAAATGGATTAAACAAATATTTCCAGATCCCAGATATCGCCTTCCTTCCTTCTATCATTCTTTATCTATCACCTTTCTTTACTTCTTTCCATCTGTTCTTCCTTCCTTCCTTACTTTCTTGTTTCCTTTCTTTTTGTCCTCCTTTCTTCTGTCCTTTCTTGTATGAAATGTAAACAGCTCTGAGAGTTTGAGATAAATTGTGTTGGAACCTGTAGAGAGCAGCCATCAGGTATCATTTCTAGGTATGTTTCTGTTTCACCTGGAAAAGGAGCATATTTTTATTTTCAGGAAAGCCTAACCAAGGACATTACGACAGAAACTTGACATTCAAGTTCTGCCTGTTTTCCAGATACATGTTACGTGTTGTCGTTCGCCGTGATCATGTTGAACACGAGTCTGCACAACCCGAACGTACGAGACAAACCATCAGTCCAGAGATTCACTGCCATGAACAGAGGAATCAACGACGGAGGAGATCTGCCGGAGGATCTGCTCAGAGTGAGTCCAGTTCAGTTTGTTCTGACAAACTCCTTCTCTGCCGAGGCTCCTTTCTGTGTGAACAGACTGAAGTGAATTATATCGTCTTTCATCTCTAATACTTCCTCCAG